ATATGGTTATGTTTTTGTAATTGAGTTTTGAGCTCTATCTTGTGTTTTAATTGCATATTGCGTATGATTGAGCTTGTGGCTCCTATTTTAAACTATGAATAATTTTCGACCCTTCTGAAAACTGTTGCCCACCTCTTGTTTATGTTTGAATATGGTTGTTCCTTTCAAATTTGAGTCTCGGTATTGATCAATACCGATGACTTGAATTGTGCTTATAATTAAACCGATCACATGAATAGTGCTCATATTTGAACAAACATGAATCTGTGGCTACGATGAATCCAAATAAAGTTATATAGATAATATGTGAATTGTTTACATCTCTTTGTGACTTGCCAAGTATCAAATTGAGTCTTTTGATATTAACCTTGCACACTAACAAAAATGTGGAGTCTTTTTTGATGTTAGTATCAATGTCTTATGTGATGAGCTTATTGTGAACCATGCATGATGACACCTAGAATTTTCCCCGTCGGTCCAGTTGACCAAGTGATGTGATCTCATGATATGATCTTAAGAAACTTTGAAGAGTGTGAAACAATTTGACATATACCTCTTTCGTGGACAACCTTGTGAGTGTGTGATACTTGATCGAATACCCCTTGAGTCTTGCCCTTTTCTTGGAAGAAACTTGACGAAATAATAACCTTTCTTAATACATTGACCATAATCCTCATGAAGTTGTGGTCAATGTGAATAGTCAACTTAGGCCAAAATCCTAAGTTGGGGTGTGGTGAAAAAAAGAAGGTACATCAAGAAGTGCAAGAAAGTCCCCTTTGATCCATGGTTTTGAGAAAAATGGAACTCCTCCATATATATAAAAAAAATAAAGATGAAAAATAAGAAAAGAATGAAAAAGAACATATAAAAATTTTTTGAATAAATTTGAAAAATATAAAAAGAAATGGTGTTTCCAACCGTCCATGAAAGATGAATAATGGGATGACTTGTGAGCACGAAAAAAATGATGAAGAAAAGGGAAGGAAGTGTGATTCATACCCATTTCATGATGATAGAAGTCACTGGACATAAATGACCATACCTTTTCTCCCAATCCCATTATAAACCTTGAAAGTACCTTTTTGATCTTTAGTGAGCTGAAAAAAAGGTTGATAGGAAATTACAGGCAAGCCTATGAGTGAAATCATGCATCGTGTTCATCTTTGTGAGAGTGAGTGTTGAAGTTGATTCCGGAGTTTAAATTGTAAACCATTATATGTGATATGGAATCATTCTTTGTGTGAGGGCACTTGAACACTTTTGTTGAGATTAAACTTGCATTTGAAGCAAGTATGGAGAGCGTGAGATTCTTTGGTAATGTTAAGTTAGAACTTGAATCTTTGAATGCACAATTGATCCTTGCATGAGTAAGTTGAGTCGTTTTTTGTGCATTCATGATTGAATCTTGTGTAGCACTGTATGAGACATCCTCTTTGAACTGTTGAACTTGAGTTTTACATGATGGACACGTAAATGTTTAGGATGGGAGTGTTGATTAATCCACGATTTGAACCCATTTACGGCTTTAGTTAAATAGATTTAGTATCATCAATCAAATGCATATTTTGTCCCAATAACTTATATAAATCCTTTGATTTTGAAGGATTTGGATTGAGGAACAAAATATGGACACTAAGGAGAAAAAATAATCAAGGCAACTGAAAGAACAAAGAAAAAAAGACATGAGGATCGCCTAACCAATTAGGCGAGTCGCTGAATGGCCTTGGTCTTGCCTTATGTTCAAGTGTGCTAAACCCTAAAGGAGAAAATCAAGTCGTCTGTTGAGAGGATTAGTTCGCGAGTCGCCGAACTTTTCAGCGGTGCTGTTCTATGTCGCCCAAAGTTACAGAACCTCAATTATGTTGAAGGCAAAAGCACAACGGTGATACAAATGACAAAGGGCGGATGTTCGAGTGGATCGACGATATCGACTTATTGCACCGGCTGATCCTTTGTAGCACAATTTTTGACAACTATAATTACATTTTAAAATTCATAGTTAATGATTTAGTATTGAAAACAATCTATCAATTATCTAGTTTTGAGTTTAGTTTTCAAGTTTGGAGACATTTTTCCTTGAATTTAGAGGATTTTGAAGATTTCCAAAATCAAGAAATTAGAAGTGGATGTTGAAGATTCTTCATCGTAGACCTTTGTAAAGACAGCATTAATTGTACCCATTTGATGAAAACACTAGTTGGTATCAATTTCTTGCGTTTTACTATGTATAGTTAAAACCCCACATCTTGGGGTGTGATTATGTAATTATGGGTAGATATAACTGTTGAGTATTGCTAACTGATAGTTTATTTGTTGTTTAAAAGTGATTCCGTTCAGTAGTTGTGGCTGACTGTAGTTGCAAATACAATCTCAGATTAGTGCTTTGGCTTAATCAAGAGAGAGGTTTTGAAACCAAAACTACTAAATCCTAAACCCTCCACACATTCATTTCGAGAGAGTGAATGGACTAAGGCAAAGGTTGTGTTTAATTGTCGCTTATTGGTGTTCGATAGAAACCAATTTGATCAAGGGTAAGTTTCGAGAGAGAGAGAGTTTACCCCCACTAAAGTCTAGCTTAATCATAGATATGCAGGTGTTTACTATTAATTGCAATTACCTAGTTGTTTATCTTAGCCATTAATCCCATCACATCCCAAGAATCCTATTTTGATATTAATATTTTTGTGTATTTATTGTGTTAGTTGATAATTAACTACAACCCCCCCCCCCTTTGATAGTTGACACTTGTGTCACTCCTAATTTGATATGTTTTTTTCGTAAATGTTTATTAGCTGTGACTGGCTTGAACTGATTTGCACTTGGATATTATTTTTGAAACCACTCTCTGTGGAAACAATTCCAACCCTTGGTTGGGTTATATTAATACTTACGATCGTTTGCACTTGAACTAGAAGTGGTATCCTGATACGTGAAATCAACTTTCCATAAAAAAAATCTATCACATATTGTTGGGTTGCATTTTTATTTAGTTTGGAATTTGTTGGGCAACTGATATATCAACACTGAATACGTGCTGCATGAACTAAAAACATTGAGAGAAAAGCAAGTCAGAGAGAAGTAGAGGGTGACTATTAGTTGCTTGCTGCTTGGCAACTCTACTTAGGTTAAAAGAAATATTGTGATTGCAAGCTACAATGTAATGATCTGATAAATCTTTCAAAGTTATCTATATTTTACATGGAAGCTTACGTGATAATTTTTTTTTCTTTTTCTTCTCTTGTTTGCAAATGTATGGGCTTATGCAATCTTGAAGTTAGTTTTCTTGTAGAGATGACATGAGGCAGAGGTCGAGGTAACAGAACTCGTGTAAGAAAGACCCAGTTAGAGGTCGAGGTAGCACAAGTCGAGTTTATATGCCTAACTGTTTCCATTTCCATAACTAATTTCAACAATGTTGTATCAATTCTTCTACTAGACCAGATCATATTAGCCAATTTGAAACATTAGCTCCTACTAGTTCGCCTCTTGTTCAAACATTCAACTCATGATAGTGCTCGATTTCTTTCATTTTGAAACACCTTGTGTAATATCTAACCAGAGCAATAGAATAGGTGAAGGTGCATTTACTCAAAGAAATGTGATAGGGAGGCACCTGCATTTAGCCAGAACAACACAATAGGTGAAGGTGAGAGTAATAATAATTCTAGACAGGAGACATTTGTATTTCTTTCTGATTCCAGTAAGTTTGTACTTGCACTGTTGTTAATTATGTATTGTAATTTCTTCATGATAGACTTCATATAATATATTTCTATTTTTTTTTCAGTTTGGAACCTTCAAATATTTTCTCTACTAGTATATGTGAGACTTTCGAGAGTGAACTTGATCGTAATGGAATTAATTGGAAAAGTGTCTCACAAAAAATTAAAAAAATTTATAGCACGGAGAATTTGAGGTATAAATTTCACCCTTTTGATTTTAAGAAAAAGAACATCACTTTTGAAGGTTGGGTACTAACGTTGTTTACTTATAAAATTATTTTAGAAGAAATTCTATTGGGATCCTTCTATTGATAAAGAAGTGAAGATACTATGGAATAAGAAGGCAGTGAGAAGGTACAATGATTTTATTTCTTGAATAAAAAAAAAGCAGTTCAGCCAAAATATGTTCCGAAAGAAACATTAAAAAGTTGTATGAGATTTTGAAAAGAACCCAAGGTTACTGAAAAGTCAAATAAATACAAGAAATGATTGTGACGGTCAGAATGCAATTGCAAGTGGGACTCACACCGGAGGCTCTATTACTATCGGAGAAAATCGCAAAAGAATTGTAAATATATTTTCGCACTCCCTTAATTTAGTTTATATGCACAACCTTAACCCTTCAAAACATTGAAGTGCCTTTGTATTATGCTTGCAATTCCCTCAATTCGAGACTAGAAAATGCTTCCACCTTAATACTTCCATGGGAACGGACTTACAATTGTTTCTTGCATTTAAGCCTTCTCTTTGTAACATTGAGGCATATCATCATATTATTTCTGCATTTCCTAGAATTGGTAAACCAATTTTCTGCGAATTAAATTTTTGGAGTTGCTCTTCTGCACAGTGTACTGATTTAGGAAATCCACATCTTGTTGGTGGTGGTTCGTTTATGAAGGGGTTGCTTACTATAAGAAGAAATCAAACCAATTAAATATTGATCATCGATGTAAAAGATGAGAACCTACAACTATAACTTTATATGTTCAAGCAGGGAGTCATGGATCCTTAACAAAAATGAAACGTGAGGTGTGTTATGATGCTACTAATAACGCAGTGGAATATTTTAATAGTATACATAGATGAGAAGCTCTACATGCACCGAGAGTTCATCTGGCTCTTGACCATGATACATCGTGTCAATGAGTACCAACTGTGAATAGGAATAGTAGTAGATAATAACGCATTAAGCGGACATCCCATATAATTATCTTGTGTGTGCTAGGTGGTGTCTTGCTTTTTGAACAAACGACACTCCACAAAACGCGAACGGAAAAATATAATGGAGGCAGCTAGCATTATGTTTGTACCTAGACTGATGATAATTGATGTTTTATCAAAAGGGAGTTTGACGAAAGTGAAGCATTCAGGCAACATGTGAAGTGTCTGTGTTATTGATAAGGCTTTGTTATTTTAATTATATAGAACTTCTTTTTTACTTATTTGGTTGTCATGTACACTTGTGGTGATGGGTTTGTTTTACCCCAAACTACATGTTTTAGAGTCAACATGTGAATTACTTCTTACTCAACCACATTCAATGATCGACATTTCTCTCCTTGATATGCGTGCTCACCATTTTGGGTTCAAACAATATGAAGCAGGGAAGTATATTCTCAAATTCCCTCGTGTTTTAAGGTATTTGAACACCAAATTCAGAGAATATTATATTCCAGGCTTACTCGTAAATCATTGCTTCAAATTGAGCAAGCAAAACTAGTACTTTTAGCTCAATTTCCTCAAGTTGTAATTTGTTTACTAAAGCGTTTGCTGCTTTCGAATGCGGGGACATTTAAGGATAGAACATCTTAGGATTGCAAAGAAAGATTTTGGTTTACCTAATGATTTTGATTTTTCTGTGGTTTTGAAGTATCCAAAGTATTTTAGATTTTTAATGCTAAAGGAGACTAGGATTAAGTATATTGAGGTTGTTGAATGAAACATGCGATTAACCGTCTTTAAATTCCAAGTATTTTAATATTTTCATATGCTTTTAATTTTTTCGTTCTTTGTATAGGATATTGCAAAGGATCGAGATCCAACATCAAATGAACTATATTTGCATGTCCATACACATTGTCACGATGAAAAATCATTAGTTGATGACGAGCTCGAGTTGCACATGTGAGTCCAATATTCTATAATTACATTCACTTTATATACTCGTTGGAGGATATATTGTATAAATCATTTTTTTCTTCAGTCAACGGCCACTCTCTCTTTCTTTTCCCACTTTTTCACCTCCAAGAATTATAGATATATGTCTACCTGTGTACAACTACTGATTGTTTGGACATCATAATAGTTCAATTGCTCAGTGAAGGTGCCAACAATTTTAATGTTTCTGAAATAACTTGACATACTCAGGTCTTCATATATATATATATATATATACTAGGTAGAGATTAGCCCGCGCAAGCACGGGCCCAATATAAGCCCAACATAATGGAAATTTAAAGCTAGAATTATTTGACTGGATACAAGGTATCCTAAATAATTAATCTCGAAATAAATTAACTTACAATACATAAGTTATTATATATTTTATTACTATGACAAAACTTATGAAATAAATAAGACAATAACTATCTAATATCTCCTACTAAACATGAAATAAAATAATCTTACATTTTATTCTGAAATTGTTATATTTTATACCTCACACAAAATGACTCTTTAAAGTCGGTTTTATTTTTAAAAAATAACCATAATACTAATTGAAAAGTCAACAATATATTTAAATTTATATCCATAAATTTAACGATATCTATGTATTTTATATTTACATATTATGAATCAAATTGGAGGTCAGCCAGGATATAGTCTTATTTGTTGTGATCCCTGACTTGCCCTGTTACATCAGATGAACAAGGTAGAAATTTAGTATTCGTAAAAACACAAAATATAAAAAAAAATTCGGTATATAAAGTAAAGCATCATATATTATTATAAGCATGAAGCTCAAAACTTAAAAGTTGAATTACTATTTTGCCCCTCTAATAAATTAAAACTTTTATAATTTTCATATATATAATCTTCTTATTCTCATTCCCTAATCTTGACCTTTCAAATTTCTAACACAAATGTAAATAAAATAAAAATGAGTAATTATTCCTTATAGACAAGAAATTAAAGTAGA